AGCAAACCTCCCACCCACCCAGCCTTTGTGCACGGGGCACCTGGAACACACTCTGACCTCAGCCCCTGGCCACAGAACAAGCATCGATGAGTCATGGTCAGACTCAGCCCCTCCCCGCGACCTCTGTTCTTCCCTGGGCTCTTGCATCCATGCTGCCACTACCCAGGACCTGCTGTGTGTCCTCCATCTCCAGAGGTCCCGTGGTCATCCAGCACCCGCCACGACGCCCCATCAGGCCTGCCTGTCCTGGCACCTGTGAGGCTTGGCGCCGATGGGGTACTCGTCTGGCTCCCTCCCTCCAATCCCAGCTCAGCCTCTGACAGGAGGCGATGGGAGATGCTCCCGGGAGCACAGCAGAGGCAGGCACGCAGAGCAGCCACACGAGGCAGGCAAGACAAGCCCAGGCCAGCCAAGGGGGCTTTTCAGCACCAAGCTGCACAGGGACAGAAGAAAAGGCAGATCCAACTCCAGGCTCGGCCATCACCCTCGAGGCTGGCACAGCAGAGGCCCCCGCCAGGAACCAGCCCAGGAGGGCAACTGGGAGTTCCAGGCAAACCTGTCAGCTGCCCACCAGGGAGAAGTAATGGGCTGGCTTCAACCAGGAGGCAGAGTGAGCAGGCGGTCAGCCATCTGGCACCTCCAGCCTCTGGCCAGGTGCCTGAAGGCCTCTGTGGCCTCAGCCTTCCAGGGGCTTCGGCCCAGGCCCAAGAGGCAGCAGGTGTTCACAACTAGCAGATCGGACACCTGCCCCAGCAGCACCCTAACTAGGGTCTCACGTGAGCCCTTTCCACAGGGAATCTCGTACACAGTGCGTTTGGGTAAACGACAGTTTTACTCAGTGCCAAGAGCTGGTTCTTAGGCCTTTGAGGCTGAGGAATTCCTGGATCGGACCAAGAGCAGGAGTGCTGACCGAGGGACTCCTCCAGGAGGTCAGCCCTGCCCCCGAGTGTCAAAGAGCCTGAGGAGCAAACAGCACCATGTCCACTCCATGTCCCTGGGGTGGGGTGAGGCCTCTGGGTGCCAGCTCTGGCAGGGGCGTTGGGACGAGAAGACAGGTGAGGAGGAGGGTGGAAGGCACCATTCCCCTCCCTACCCCCCACCAGTCAGGGCTGCTCTGGAGGGTCTGTGGAGGCGTGTCCAGCGTGACCACTCACCTGCACGAGGCCCATGAGGGCGGGGCTGTGCAGGGAGAAGGAAGGGCCACGACACCAGCCCTACCTGCCAAAGCGCGTGACACCGTCCACCATGAGCCGCATCTTCCTCCTCTCCTGCGGCTCTGCGGTGAGGTAGCGGACGCCCAGGAGCAGCGGCAGCCCCACGGCCGTGGAGGTGAGCACCTTCCTCCATAGGGGCTGGGACCCCAGGGGCCTGGCGGGACAGGGGCACGCTGGCTGCTTGCCGTCTGCGCCCCATCCCTGCCTGGCCTGGTTGTGCAGGTGACGTTGGCCCCGGATG